AGTTTTGGCACTTACCATGTAGACTTGGAATCCTTTGATATAAAAATAAAAGATTTTAGGGGCAAGTGTCAACTTGTTCCTTTTTAAAAAACCCAACCCAGTTGCTGTCAGGTTGATTTCAACTCATGGTGACCCCAAGGGTTTCGGAGAAGACCTGAGTTCCACAGGGTTCTCAATGGTCATGATCTTTCAGAAGTGGATTCCCAAGGCTTTCTTCCCAGGTGCCTCTGGGTGGGTTTGAACCTCTAATCTTTCAATTAGTAGCCAGACACTTAATTGTTTGCATTACCCAGGGTCCCCAATTGTTCCTGAAGGGTTGATTTTGAAATTGTTAAAAAGTTACAGTTGATTCTTTTTATTTGCAGTAGTTAATGTTCTATAACATCAACACAAACACTGAATTAGTGAATACGGAACCATTGCTTCTAGGAGAAATAAAAGGTTAGGTTCCTGGAAGCCTTTGACAATAACAAAGTTTTCATTATTTGATCAACACATAATTTTGCTTTATGTGTGCTTCTGTTTAGAGGAGGCATTCTGGTGGCATAGTGGTTAATGCATTCGGGTGCTAACCAAAAGGTCACCAGTTTGAACCCATTAGCTACTCCATGGGAGAAAGATGAGGCGACTGTTGCAAAGATTTACAGCCTTGGAAGCCCTATGGGGCAGTTCTACTCTATCCTATAGGGCCACTGTGAGTTGGAATTGATGTGATGATTTTTTTTCTCTCTAAAGACATCTTATTTAATATATACTGTTGCTTCATTAACATTGAACTCACAGCCAACAGCACTATAAATCACACCGGAAAGAAGCTTATCTAACACACGTATTTTCTCGATAAGGCATATCACGTCCTTCTTATGCTTGGGAACATACGCACTGCACTTAGCAGCCATTTTGAACAATGAAATCACCAACAACAAGCACAAAAAAGTGAAAAATATGGCCCTATACAGACTACGACGGAAAGGACACTTGTTTACAGTATGAGAGCTGAAACAAGAAGTCAGAACATCACCTTGTTTGACCTCATCTGGGAAAGTGCACATTGGATGACTCAAATTTTTTACCACTCTGCTCATATTTGTGAATGACCATGAAAATGCATGAATATGACTTGGGGTTACAAATAAATTTTAGTGAGTAGGAAAATTTTCAAATATGGAATCTGAACAGTGGGGATCAATTACATACTTAAAATGTTTCCCTTTAAGCAGAAAGAACACACAAACAACTTGGGCAAACCATGATAAGGACATGAATGAGATTAAAGATAAAGTAGACTGTATGTCACGTAGTAGAAGATATGCCTTTTATGTCTTATGTGACTAAATATTGCACACAAGACCATACACCTGTGACTGTCTGGTGACAACCGCTCTTCTTGCAGACTAATTAGTGAATGATGGCAAGTGACTGCAGTAATGTCATTGGCTCTAGTTTACCTCCTTACTGCATTTAACAAGGGGTGGCTAGAAGCACAAATGAAGGTAAATCTCCGAGATCTTCTGTTCTAGTCATGCTATTAGTTCAATATGGGAAAGAGTTGGAGTTAGAATTCTTTAGTATAATCTTTTTAAAGGGTCTTTTTAATCTAATTGGTAAATTAACAATAATTACTGAGTTGTCAGTAACTATAAAGAGATTGGCCTTTATAAACTTGTAGTCTGTTTAGGGGAAATACTTTATACATACATCTAGGGAAAAAAATAGTTGAGGCCACATAACCCTACCGAGACTGAGTTATTTTCTGTTTTGAATATTTGTTGAAAATATGTGTTTCCAGTAATGGAAAGTGTTTTGAATGAAATGAAAAGAAAAAAAAAAAACATTTTTTTGAGTTAATGTGTATTTTGATATAATTACTGGGACATATATGTCCCAAGGGATCTCTAGTGCTGGGCTTGATGGGATGAGGTCTGTTTCTTCAGATTCACACAATTATACATGCCCCCACCAGATGGCAGCACTAAAAGTGTGATAGCATCTTCCCATGAAACCCCAGAAGTGGAAAATATAGGTGGACACTGTATGTCCCACAAGCCATGAAAGGGTTAAAAAAGAAACAACGATGAAGGCAAATAACTATTGCCTTAACATAGATTAGTGATAAATAGGTATGAATGAAAGTTATCCAGAGCAGCATGTTGAGAAGAGGTTGGAAAAGGAGTTTTAGAATAGATAGCTACCACGGTCGCTTGCTGAGTGGAGGGCCATAAGTAACAGGCAGGGTGAAATGGAGGTGGAGAGACAGAGCATCCGGGTCAGGGAAAGGAGGCTGGGGTTGAGTCAGGGTGCACTGCGAGCCTGGAGACTCTACTGCAGTGGGATGACAGAATGGCAGCTGCTTGGGCAGGACCTGTTACACGGTGAACAAGATAACAATATAATAAAATATTACCTGCTTTGAATTTATTTTTTACATATTTTTTAAAGTTTTCTTCCCCTAGTTACAAAAGTAAACCAAGCTGATAGTAAAATATCCAGAATTACAGAACCTGATCAATATAGAGAGTTAAAAGTCCACTCTTTTATCTGCAATGATAACCACCATTAGCAGCTGATGTTGCTTACTAATATTGGGATAAAAAATAAGACTTTACCTTTGGAGCCTTAGAATTACAAAGTGAGATACCTCCTATTTTCCTAATGTTCATGCCTCATATTAGACGTCATGATGTAAGACCTCATCTACTATTGAAGAGACTTTTTGGTTATTTTATCCCCACAACTTGTGATGCTGGTCGAGAGTCATGGTCTATTGTTTTCCCTATCTTGCTTGAAGGAAGTACAAGCCTGGGGAAATCTATATAGTATGGACTGTCAAAGGTGTTAACTTCCCAAGTGTAGCCATTCAACAGCCCATTCAAAGTCATAAGGAAAGTCAACAGTGGCAGACCTCCTCACAGGCTGTAACCAAGATTGCTTAGGTCCAGAGTTTTATCTTTTAAGAAGCATCTTTTGGGTGGTCTGAGGGAGATTGTCTTTAGTACAGAAAGAAGTATTCCAAGTTATTGTGTTCACAAAAGAGCAGAAAAATCATAGATACTCCACCTTATTTAATATATAACATTGAACTCAAAGCCAATAGCACTGTTGTTGTTGTTATTTGCCATCAAGTCAGACCCAACTCATAGCGACCCCTTCTTAAGTTTCTGAGGCAGTATCACTACAGAAGTAGATTGCCCAATCTTCCTTCCGAGGAGTGGCTGGTGGGTTTGAACCGCCAGCCTTCTGGTTAGCAGTCAAGTGCCTTAGGCACTATGCTACCAGAGCTCCTGCCAATTGCACTATACCTCATTAACTCATGCCTGAATGAAGCTTATTGAATATAGTTATTATGGGAGGCTAACAAGCCATATCACTTCCTATTGGCCTTTCAAGTATCTAAGGATCAGAACTAAAAACCAAACCAAACCAAACTCACTGCCATCAAGTGGATTCTGACTCAAAGTGACCTTCATTGGGTTTCCAAGGTGGTAAATCTTTACAAAAGTAGATTGCCCTGTCTTCCTTCCATGGATCAGAATAGAAATTGCTAATTTCTTCTAGTAATTTTCAAGGGTGAAGGAAAATCAAGTTAGCTTTTCACCTGAGCTTGTTTATGGAAAGTACTATTCTGTAGGTATTCCCGAGCCCTTTGAAATTTATGGGTGAGACATATTATCAGAACTAAACACTGAAAACTTTAGAGCAAATGATGAAATTTATGTATTTTCTCCCTCCTAGCCCAAAATGAAGGATGATTATGATAGCTAGAAGATATGAAATCTGGAGGAGTGACTGGTCATTGGTTTTGGTTTCCAAAGGAATCTGAGATTAGGAGAATGATGTTTGAAAGTGGACTGAAGTGATGTTGCACAATGTGATGAATGTGATATATGATACTGAGTTGTACATGTAAAAAATGTTGCAATGGCAAATGTTTTGTTGCATGTATATTTACATAAATATGTTTATATATGATATAAACACTAAACTCACTTCCATCGAGTTGATTCTGACTCATAGTCACCCCCCACTGGGTTTTCCAGGTAGTAAATCTTTACGAAGTAGATTGTCCAGTCTTGCTTCTGTGGAGTGGCTGGTGGGTTTGAACCACCAACCTTCTGGTTAGCAGGCAGATGCCTTAGGCACTGTGCTACCAGAGCTCCATATATATATGATAAATAAGCACCTGGTGGTTCAGTGGTTAAAGCATTTGGCAATGAACCAAAAGGTCAATGGTTCAAACCCACCAGTTTCTCTGTGGGAGAAAGATGAAGCAGTCTGCTTCTGTAAAGATTTACAGTCTTGGAATACCTATGGGGGCAGCTCTACTCTGTCCTATAGGGTTACTATGTGTCAGAATTGAAGGCAGTGGGTGGGTTTATATGACATATATTAAAGAGAAAGAATTATGAACCAAAGGTCAAGCAAAACTCCAAACGAGGAGTAGTATATGGTGGGGAAAGTGAAAAAAGAATATGAACTGAGTTAGTCATAATGAAGGAAGCCATAAATACCAACTAAGCTGACTTAGCCACAGTGAAGAGTTTTACCAGGAATGCAAGAGCGGACCTCAGGGATTTCTATGAGACAAAGAGGTGAGAATTAGATAATGGATGGGTTACTAAGGGAATAGGTTTTCCTGTGGGGTTTTGAAAAGAAAATAGAATCTCATCTAGTTTAGTCCTGGCTGAAGGTGGAGAGAGTATGCTGGATAATGAAAGTCATAGCTTCCCCTATAGGGCTTCACAACTGGTAAGATCTGCATTTTTAAAGCTGATAGGATCTCACTTGACTCTTCTTAGGCTTTGAGAGGTAGAAGAGGGCCAGACTTACTTCACCAGCGAGGAAATTGAGAGACAAAGAGTTAGGATCCAGTTGGAAGGAGAGAGATGGAGGAAGGAAGGCAGACCTCAGGGAGTTTTGAAATTCAGAGCAAAACAGGGATTTTTTTTTTTTTTTTTTTAATGAAAACGTCGGTGCCTTTCCAAGTACACTTGATTACTCACTGTTAAGTAAGCGGAAGTCAATGAATGGGTAGGAGCCGCGGCGTTCAGCAGGAAC